ATATCAGACGTACTAAACAGAGATAAGAAAGGGATATCAAAAGCACTAGGCAGGCATAAGGAAAGAATATCACAAGTACTATACATAGATATAACAGGATATCAGACGTACTAAACAAAGATAACAATAGAATACCAAAATTATTAAAGAAAATATATCATAATTTATCATACAGACAGAGTTAAGAATAAGATTTCAGAAGTACTAGGCAAAGAAAAGTATAAGATATCAGAAGTGCTAGACAGAGACAAGAATAAGACATCAGAAGTACCCGACAGAGGCAAGAATAAGACATCAGAAGCACCCGACAGAGACTAGAATAAGACATCAGAAGCACCCGACAGAGACTAGAATAAGACATCAGAAGCACCCGACAGAGGCAAGAATAAGACATCAGAAGCACCCGACAGAGACAAGAATAAGACATCAGAAGCACCCGACAGAGGCAAGAATAAGACATCAGAAGCACCCGACAGAGGCAAGAATAAGACATCAGAAGCACCCGACAGAGGCAAGAATAAGACATCAGAAGCACCCGACAGAGACAAGAATAAGACATCAGAAGCACCCGACAGAGGCAAGAACAAGACATCAGAAGCACCCGACAGAGGCAAGAATAAGACATCAGAAGCACCCGACAGAGACAAGAATAAGACATCAGAAGCACCCGACAGAGGCAAGAACAAGACATCAGAAGCACCCGACAGAGGCAAGAATAAGACATCAGAAGCACCCGACAGAGACTAGAATAAGACATCAGAAGCACCCGACAGAGGCAAGAATAAGACATCAGAAGCACCCGACAGAGGCAAGAATAAGACATCAGAAGCACCCGACAGAGGCAAGAACAAGACATCAGAAGCACCCGACAGAGACAAGAATAAGACATCAGAAGCACCCGACAGAGACAAGAATAAGACATCAGAAGCACCCGACAGAGGCAAGAATAAGACATCAGAAGCACCCGACAGAGGCAAGAATAAGACATCAGAAGCACCCGACAGAGACAAGAATAAGACATCAGAAGCACCCGACAGAGGCAAGAATAAGACATCAGAAGCACCCGACAGAGGCAAGAATAAGACATCAGAAGCACCCGACAGAGGCAAGAATAAGACATCAGAAGCACCCGACAGAGGCAAGAATAAGACATCAGAAGCACCCGACAGAGGCAAGAACAAGACATCAGAAGCACCCGACAGAGGCAAGAACAAGACATCAGAAGCACCCGACAGAGGCAAGAACAAGAGATCAGAAGCACCCGACAGAGGCAAGAATAAGACATCAGAAGCACCCAACAGAGGCAAGAACAAGACATCAGAAGCACACGACAGAGGCAAGAACAAGACATCAGAAGCACACGACAGAGGCAAGAACAAGACATCAGAAGCACACGACAGAGGCAAGAATAAGACATCAGAAGCACACGACAGAGGCAAGAATAAGACATCAGAAGCACACGACAGAGGCAAGAACAAGACATCAGAAGCACACGACAGAGGCAAGAACAAGACATCAGAAGCACCCGACAGAGGCAAGAATAAGGACACGGGTATACAAACGACAATGAGAGGAAGAAAAGAGCCCCCCAGCCATGGTGTGGCCGAGGAGGACTAACCGGAGTATCCTGTGGGACAGTCACAGACGTAGTGGTTCAGGAGGTCTCGGCAGATGCCGTTGTTCTGGCACTCGTTGCTCTGGCACTCGTTGATCTCCACCCCACACAGCTCTCCTGACCACACGGAGTAAGCACATGGGTAAGCCAACCTAAGGACATACATGTAACTATAAGGGAGAATGGGTAAATATACAGGCAACATACAGGTAAAAATGTTGATGAACTTTCAGGTATAAAATACACATTAACATGAAGGAAAATATAGAGGTACGTACAGTCTATCTACCTGTACCTATAAGAAAGAATGTCTGTGTGTTTGTCTGTTTATCTGTCCAAGGTTGTAGGCCAGACGCAGGGGGCTAGCCTCACCCAACATTGCAGGGGGAATGGGCTGGAGTACGGGATATCTTGAGATGGTTATCTTGAGATGATTTCGGGGCTTTAGTGTCCCCGCGGCCCGGTCCTCGACCAGACCTCCACCCCCAGGAAGCAACCCGTGACAGCTGACTAACACCCAGGTACCTATTTACTGCTAAGTACCAGGGGCATAGGGTGAAAGAAACTCTGCCCATTGTTTCTCGCCGGCGCCCGGGATCGAACCCGGGACCACAGGATCACAAGTCCAGCGTGCTGTCCGCTCGGCCGACCGGCTCCCATAGGTATGGGCATGGGCATAGGCTGCTCGGGGACGGTCCTATTGGTCCTACTAAGAGGGGGGGTCGGGCCAAGAGTGATTCCCCCACCAAATTGGTGAAAGGTGGCTTGACGAGTTCCTGGATTTCTGCACTGGAAAGCGACGAACCATGTTCAGAGTCAGAGAGAGGGAGAGAGGTAGTGGGGAGAGGGAGAGAGATAGTGGGGAGAGGGAGAGAGGTAGTGGGGAGAGGGAGAGAGGTAGTGGGGAGAGGGAGAGAGGTAGTGGGGAGAGGGAGAGAGGTAGTGGGGAGAGGGATAGAGGTAGTGGGGAGTGGGAGAGAGATAGTGGGGAGAGGGGGAGAGGTAGTGAGGATGGGCCAGTGGTAGTGGGGAGAAGGAGAGAGAAGGAAGCAGATGGGGATAGGGGAGACAAGGAAATGGTAAAGAGAGAGAGAGAGGGTATGTTTGAAGAAAGGGAAAGGGAAGGGTGAGAATGGTGGAGAAGGGGAGATGAGAGCTAGGGGCAGAGGGGAGAGAGAGGGTGAGATTGGGAGAGAGGGTGGAGAGGAGAGGCGTGGGGGATGTTGAAAAGAGAGTGGGATAGGGAAAAGAGAGATAGCAGAGAGGAGAGAAATGGGGAAAAGGGAGAGACCCAGGCACTGCTGGGTACCCTTCTAATATCTATAAAAGAGAATGTCTGTTTCACTATCCAAAATTGAAGGCCAGAGGCTTGTGGCTAGCTTCATTAAACTTTGGAAGATTAATGTTTGTTTTATTGGAATGTTATAGGGAAATCGGGGGTCGGCCCCTTTAAAATTCCTTTACAAAACCAATGAATGTGAAATGTTCTACCCCGAGTCCGTAGACTTTAGCATTTGTCATTAAAAGCAGGCTATTAAACACATGACTCTGTATGACTAACCATCCTGCGAGATGGGGACTTGTATTACCACTGCTACCTTATTCAATCTTGTGTTGTTGATATCCTCAAAATGCATCCAGAGTCTGCCAGTGCAGACCGCTAATCACATGCCTCTGTATGACTAACCATCCTGTGTGATGGGGATTTTATAGCATCACCTAGTTAGCTTTTTTGACACACTGTACTCCACTTCATATAGTCTAGGGTAGCTGCACTAATGCAGATGTACCTAATATGTTAATAAAAAAAAAAATCCTTTACGACACCAGTGAATATGAAATGTTCTACCCCGAGTCTGTAGACTTTGACATCTGTTTAAATTCGGTATATTGGTATATTAAATTGGTATTTTCAGATATTGAGATGAAACGTGCATTCAGATGACAGATTGGCATTGTTGGCACAACCATTTGGTTACAGTAATACGGACCGTGTGTAGAGAAAATGGTTACAGCGATTGCGGGAGATAGGGAGGGTGTGTGTGCTAGGCGGAGATGGGGCGAGTGTGTGTGGTGGTGCAGGGGAGGGGGGGAAGGGAGGATGTTTGGGGAGATATCCACATTGGTTTGACCCGGGTACTGCCGGGTACCCCATGTAGTTATATATACATACTTAAATACAAATATAAATGTAAACATACAGTTGAATAATTACTATACATGTTAACATTTGGCTAAATATTCACGTAAATATACATGCAGATATATACATGAAAATGAAATGGTAAATATACTTGTAAACATTAAAAATGGGGAAAAAACATACATATCTAAGGAGGGAAAATTCATTAAATATATGGATGAAAATACATACCAACACAGTGGTGACTATACATTTATATGAGTATCCATGAACTTGTAAACATAGTATGACTGAATAAAGTAAATATATATAGGGAAAAAAGGGTGAATATACATATAAACATAAGGATCTCGAAGGATTAACACCTGCCAACATCTGATTGGCCACAGTACCTAAGATCAGATATTTAAGCTCATCAGGATGCAAGAGGCTCGCCTGCCGAGGGCTCTGACGTTTTCCTCCTTGCAACAGCAAGCTGAGGTTAGGCTGTCAAGCTATGATACAGGTGAGCTGTGAAGATTCCTGGTGGTTCACACTAAGCAGCCTTCGAGGCAGCGTAACAAATCCAATACGATTTCCATTGAGATTGAACAGCGCAGAGGAAGGTGTTAAACACATTGGACATAACCTTACAGAAGCCATCATACGAGCCAGAAATACTTGTTCATCGCCTAAGGCAGACATATACCAGTAACACTTAGTGGGCCAGCCAGAGGCTTGGGGCCCGCGCAACACTATGTCTCGCAAAAATCTCACGCAACATATCTCCCACCCACACAATGTTCACAGGGCCATCTCCCACCCACACAATGTTCACAGGGCCATCTCCCACCCACACAATGTTCACAGGGCCATCTCCCACCCACACAATGTTTACAGAGCCATCTCCCACCCACACAATGTTCACAGAGCCATCTCCCACCCTCACAATGTTCACAGAGTCATCTCCCACCCACACAATGTTCACAGGGCCATCTCCCACCCACACAATGTTTACGAAGCAATCTCTCACCCACACAATGTTTACGAAGCAATCTCTCACCCACACAATGTTTACGAAGCAATCTCTCACCCACACAATGTTTACGAAGCCATCTCTCACCCACACACAATGTTCACAGAGCCATCTCCCACCCACACACAATGTTCAAAGAGCCATCTCCCACCCACACACAATGTTCAAAGAGCCATCTCCCACCCACACAATGTTCACAGAGCCATCTCCCACCCACACACAATGTTCAAAGAGCCATCTCCCACCCACACACAATGTTCACAGAGCCATCTCCCACCCACACACAATGTTCAAAGAGCCATCTCCCACCCACACACAATGTTCAAAGAGACATCTCCCACCCACACACAATGTTCACAGGGCCACCTCCCACCCACACAATAAACCGAGTCTACTGGTGACACCCAACATAACAACAGACTATATCGGCCACCTTCCGAACACTCTCTCATCCAGATGACCACACTCTGGCTTCAGTCATAACCTATATGAGGCTCCAGTAAGATAACCCATTACCTCCGATATTACTAATAATGTTCAATTACCAACGGTGAATCACCGCCGATGTAATATTGAACTTAAGGGGGCCTGCTGTATGGGTAACAGTTTCTCCCCCATATCGACCTACCCTGGCTTTATGCCCTGGAGAGGACACTCCAGCCTCGCATCTCCATAGTCTCCCAAGACTGCAGGACGCCTACTACTACTTCACCGCCGATGTGTGTCGCTACCAGACCACAATAGTCCCCTGGAACAATAAACTCTCGGTTCATAGCATAAATTAACGTAGTTGACACACTTGAGGATGTCCGAGGCACAATTCCAGCTGACAGTGTCGAGCTGTGGAATTTCTACATCAACAAAATTGATTGATTATTTGGCGAGTCACAAGGTAATATAACGTGAAATCTACTTCCTTAGACTTATTCCTTTCTTCAATTACTGATCGGGCCGGGTTACCGTTACCTGTGGCAGGTGGCTACCGTTGCCTGTGGCAGGTGGTTACCGTTGCCTGTGACAGATGGCTACCGTTACCTGTGGCAGGTGGCTACCGTTACCTGTGACAGGTGGCTACCGTTACCTGTGACAGATGGCTATCGTTACCTGTGGCAGGTGGCTACCGTTACCTGTGGCAGGTGGTTACCGTTACCTGTGGCAGGTGGCTACCGTTACCTGTGGCAGGTGGCTACCGTTACCTGTGACAGATGGCTATCGTTACCTGTGGCAGGTGGCTACCGTTACCTGTGGCAGGTGGCTACCGTTACCTGTAACAGATGGCTATCGTTACCTGTGACAGATGGCTATCGTTACCTGTGACAGGTGGCTACCGTTACCAGTGACAGGTGGCTACCGTTACCTGTGACAGGTGGCTACCGTTATCTGTGACAGGTGGCTACCGTTACCTGTGACAGGTGGCTACAAGTAACAAATCTCCCAATCCTGAACACTCCACGCATAAACTGTGAACAGGAGGGAGCGGAGAGACAGGAAGGGAGAGACAGGAGAGGTGAGACAGGAGGGGAGAGACAGGAAGGGAGAGACAGGAGAGGTGAGACAGGAGGGGAGAGACAGGAAGGGAGAGACAGGAGAGGTGAGACAGGAGGGGAGAGACAGGAAGGGAGAGACAGGAGAGGTGAGACAGGAGGGGAGAGACAGCTTACCCCTCCCGTCGTCACTGACTATTACCTACACAGTTCTCACGCCCTCGCTCATTACTATGAGCAGAGTGAAGGGAAGGAAGGGGTAATGGAAGGGAAGGAAGGGGTACTGGGAGGGAAGGAAGGGGTAATGGGAGGGAAGGAAGGGGTAATGGGAGGGAAGGAAGGGGTAATGGGAGGGAAGGA